TTCTGCATAATGTTGCTCAGAACACTCTGGGATAGGAGCAGAGCATGACTTGTCCCAGGTATTCTCCTCTTCCTAGCACTTTCTTCTCATTCAGAGTTCCATAGTTAGGCCATGCCCTTGCTGAAAGCAGAACTAAACCCATCGATTTAATGCTTTCAAAAAACAATAATATTCCCAGCTTGCCAGGAATGCTGTCACATTTGCTTGTGCTGTCAACCAGATTGTCAAACCATCAAATGGCTGGTGTCATAACTGATCACGTGTATCGCCATGGCAGTGCATGGCCAGCTTTACGGATTCACATTTTTAAAGCTGAAATAAACCCTCCTACTCTTTTCAGGCAAGGAAGCTGCCATCTTAGGGGTTGATGTACTAAAGGCAAATAGACTGTGCACTCTGCAAGTGCAGTTATCCAGATCTTGGTGAATGAGGTAAAGCTTCAGTTTGCAAAGAATACCCAATCATGTGCAAGGGAAATTAAAAAAAAAACAGCAATTTTGCATGTACATGATTGAATGATAGAAGTCAGCAGAGCTTCTACTTATTTCCTAAGCTCTGGAGCAACTGCTCTTGCAGAGTGCACTTTGCAAAGTGCACAGTCTAATTGCCTTTAGTAAATCAACCTCTAAGATGGCAGCTTCCTTGCCTGAAAAGGATAGAATAGTTCTGCTTTAAAAATATGAATCCGTAAAGCTGGCCATACATTACTCAAATTTCAGCTGATTTGTGCTGGGTGAGCCGAAATTCAAACAGTGTTTGGTCCTACTGTCACCACTCCATTAGGCAGACACCAACAGTTCAATCAACTTTTGTTAAAAGGGCCTGTTAGAAAGTTGTGGACTGAACTGCACATGAATCTACCCAGATGCAGGAACTGGTACGGCATTCCGACAGCCAGCAGGGGCAATTGTTCCTTTTGAGCTGTTAGCGTGGATATAGGAATCTGCAAGATTTCTCTGTGTATTATTATTATACAGGATTTATATAGTGCCAACACTTTGCGCAGCGCTTTACAATATAAGGTACAATTACAGTACATTTCAGTACAGAAGGAATAGGAGGGCCCGGCTTGTGGAGGTTACAAGCTAAAGGAAGGGGGAGGTGATACAAAAGGTGATAGCTGCGGGGGATGATCTGGTGGAGGTGATTCAAGTACAGTTCTTAGGTAGAGGTGGGGTAGGCTTCCCTGAATAAGTGAGTTTTCAAAGATCACCTAAAGGCAGACAGGGTGGGGGCGGACCAGACATGCTATGGTAGAGAGTTCCAGAGAATGGGAGAGGCTCTGGGGAAGTCTGGAGGCGAGCGTGGGAGGAGGTGATGAGGGAGCTAGAGAAGAGGATATCATGGGAGGAGCGGAGTGGGCGATATCTGTGGATAAGGTTGGCGATGTATCGAGGGGCAGTGTTGTGGATGGCTTTGTAAGCTGTGGTTAGTATTTTGAATTTTATACGGTGGGTTAGTGGAAGCCAGTGAAGGGATTGGCAGAGAGGGGCAGCAGTCGCTGATTGGTTGGTAAGGTGTATGAGTCTAGCAGCAGCATTCATAATAGACTGAAGGGGGGGCAACTTTAGTCTATAGCAGTAGTTATCCACATATGAGCTAAAGGAGGCCTCAAATGCAGCCCCTGACATCACCAATGACCACACATAATATTTAATATATGTAATACTTGAGAGGACTGTCAGAAACTGCAAACCTAATAGAGGAAGTGAGGGTCAGAGAGTGTGGACATGCTACATTTCTGGCTGGGGACATGCTACAGAAGACAATATGAAACTAGGAACGTGTTACATGAGGCTAGTAGAGATCATTGCTATTACCCTAATCAATGTTCCCACTACAGACTGCTGGGGTCCAAGGGCTGAACATCAAATACCAAAGGGCTGCAGGTTGGGCACCAGGGCTCTATAGTATAGGTAACATCAAGGTAACATGTTTCGGTAATCCAAGTGTACTAACTCATGCTTCTATACACGTTGTGCCTCATTTTACAAATCGCTGTGTATAGTTAAGTTAACTTTTGCTTACAGCTGCTATTTCTGGCCTCTTAAAAATGCTAGGCACCCAGCCAAAATGCTGACACTCTCACTTCAGTACTTTAGGAGCCAGTGACCTGGAACAAGTATGTAAATCAGGAAAGTCTGCATACTTGTTTTGGGTCGGTGAGTCGTGAATCCAGAAGGTCAGCCTGACAGCCATACAATTAGCTTTTGCAGAATCAGAAGTCCGCTATAGTCTGCACATTTCTTCCAGCCTATTTTTCTTTTTTTTTAGTTGGGGTATGGTTGGGAAGGGTTAGAACTTCACATTTTTATTGGTATCTTTGTCTCCCCTGAGTGGATTTTCCCTAACTTCCTGTCCCAGTGACCCCACAGGAAATGAGAACAATAGCCCCAACAGTGATACAGACAGGAATTTTTAAAAAAAGTTCTAACCCTTCCCAGTGCTGCTAAAAACAAGTGCTATGATTGCATTCTGTATTTCTGCTGTAAAGATTCTTCTTACTTCCTGTGTCAGTGACCACACACGAAGTTAGGGAAAATCTTCCCAGTGGGTTACACCTGGTAGAGGGTTTAACCCTTCCCTGCTTAATGGACATTTTGGCTCTAGTTGCTTTCACTTGGACAGCCTTACCAGCTTCCAGAAAAATTGGTGTCTTTGAAACTTTAACAAAGTGATTATTACCTGTCAAGTGGAGTCCACAGAAGTATAACACCAACTGGGAAATTAAAGTGTTACTAAACCCAGGACCCTACATTCACTATATCTGGTCTCCCGCAGTACACAGAACATGGAAATGCAATTATTTTAGTAAATATAAACTGCTAAATACCTTTCTCATCAGCAGTTAGAGCAGTCTTGTGACTTCTATCAGTGTCCAACAGAGCACGTGTTAAAGCTTGTAGGAATTTTCATTCTGCTTTAGGAGGATGCAGAACCCCTGACCTCTGTCTGGACAGTGCTGATTAGCCTTGTGCTGATCACATGCACTCTCCCAAGAAATTAAAAAAAAATAATAATACATTTGGAATTACACACCAAACTGAGCATATGCAGAGTGACTCCACACCATATGTCTAATCAGGAGATAAGAGTGGGACACTGGAAGAAAGGGAGGATCAGAGACATCAGGATCAAACAGCGTTTTTACATAATGTAGAGGATTAACCCCTTAGGTTCCACAGTGAGTATAACAAGCATGCTTTACTGCATATACAGACTGATTGTACTGTTGTGGATTTAGTAACACCAAGTAAAATTCTCATTTCTAAAGCTGGCCATACACACTTAGGGCTGAACAAGAGAATTCCATTGATTTCCTAGATGCCTGCTAAGCAGCGCAGGTTTCTCAAGAGCTACAAATTATTACAAGGGTTCCTCAATGGTAAAAAGCACTGAGCAGTTTTTATGGAGTAATTGTGTGGTGAATAACTCTTGTGTCCTCTTATAGTTCCGTCCCGAGTACATCCCAGAAGAGGAGATCCAGCGACAGCTGTACATCATCGAGCAGGAGCTGGACACCTTGGAGCAGCGAGGAGTAGAGCTGGAGAAACAGCTGCGCAGCTGTGATGGAGGTAGGACATTGAGGCGCTCTACCTGAAACTGACCACCACCTATCCGTAGATGGAGGCAATTATTGCTTAGCAAATGCATTACAAAAATCAGCTAAAACTTAGATTTACTGTATAAAAACATTTTTGAATATATACGCCATCATTTTCTTGAACTATATATACAGTCTGTAAATGCTCAGCCAATACTGGGAATACATACTTCCACAAAGTCCTGACAACATCACAAAGTTCAGATCATTTTCATTTAAAAGACAATAGATAGGGTTCACAGGAGGCTCATCTGGTTGGTGCAGTCCATGAGGGTATTGTTGGCAGGATGCATGGTGGGCTGTATAGAAAAGAAGAAATGACTGCCATTTTTTGCTGTTGTGGATTGGTGCAGACTAGGGATGAGCATGGGTTTGGTGCAAACTGGGAAGGAGGCTGTCATTCCTGCCCACTGCTGCTCAATCAACTGCGGCTAGGATGTTCCCTGCCCCGCAGTATCAGGTAGAAAAAGCGATGGGGATGCTCGTGACATCTTTCGTCCAATATGGCCACGTGTCTTTGACCTAATATGGCTGTGTGGTCCTATTAGGGCAGTAATTTCACAAGCATCTCCGCCCCTTTGTATACATGCAGCTGCAGGGTGGGGAATGTCCCAGCCACAGGTGATTGGGTGGCAGTGGGCAGAAGTGACAGCTTCCTTTTTGGGCTGTGGTATGAACCTAAGTTGGGACCAAACCTGTGCTCATCTCTAGTGCAGCAGTTTCTGGTTTGTTTCTGTACCTATGAGGATGGAGGGGGGGGGGGGGCATAGGCATCCCTAAAGTAAGCCTGCCCTTAATCTCTAGAATTAGAGCTCACCCTTTGTATAAATGCCTTGGCATGGCAGTGTTGCTTTACATATATTTGTCTCTGTCTCTTTATGTTGGAAACCATTTAATTTGCTTCCTGTGCTGACAAGTTGGATCGGGTGTTTGGGAATTGTTGTATTGGCTCATTACACAAGACAGTTGAAAAAAGGAGTTGTGGACCAGCTAGTTGGATTTTTGGAACCATTTGCAATCTTTTTGTATGAAGGCTGTTGGGAATGGGAGTTTTTGATGTCAGTTTTTGGGTATATGTAGAAGAATTTGACACAAATAGGATTACTGTTATTCTAGAATTACCTACAAATTTTAATATTCAAGATTTAAAGATAAATGTTTCTAGGTACATGATTGCTATAGACTATTCCTATTAAGAAGGATATTTGGTGAAGTTATCAATGTCCATGTATTGGTGCTCAGTTTTGTATATATACTCTACAATACCAGATAGCAATAATAATCTGGTTTTACTCTAAAAACAAAAAAAACCCTAAATCTTTTCTGTGTACAAATGATGTGAAATAAATGTGTTTGTGATTCGGCGAGATGAGCTTTAGGATATAGGCAGCTAGTGCACCAAGCTTTCTACTTACTACGTAACCCAAGTCTGTATATATACCTCCGAAGCTGCAAACATTTATAACTCTGATAATATTTGACAACATTGGAATCTTAGTACATCACTTTATAATAGTATTTCACTTTCAAATCTCGATGACTTCTATAGACCGGCAAATAATCAAAGAATTCAGGTTGGCATAGCTCATTTCCCAAAATCCCTTATGAGGATATGCACATATATGGAAATGAGGAGATACACTCAAAGGCATGCCTCTGATGATAACTCTTGCAGGTTCCTGTTTGCTTATGTCAGCTCTCAGCCAAACTTTTGGTGGGCTTTCACTGGTTAAAAGGCATTTAGGGGGTGACATATTGCCCCTAAGCTGCCAGCCCGATGCGTTCTGCCCTGATGATGCTATGTTCTGAGCAGTTAACCCTAAAGTGGTTGTAAATCCTTATATGTACCCAGTGAAGTGACTGGCCTCAGGTAATACACAAGAGATTAAACAAATCCTCCTACATAAGTTGTACCTGCTTGTCTGCAGCTCTCTCTCCTCTACATCCCTTCAAAGTGCTGAATTTGAAACACTTCTCTGAGCTGTCAGGAAGCAGGGTGAAGAACTAAAATTATACACTGCAGAGCTCAGTGAGGAGAGTTCTGAGATCTGATTGGAGGAATGGGACACCACCCCATTCACACAGTACACAGGAACACAGCTAAGGCTGTCAATCACAGGGTGTGCCCTCCCCATAACCATTTTTCTCTTGGTGTCAAGTAAACTTTTCAGAAGGGTATCATGCTGAGAGCAGAGGAATGAGGTAGCAGACAGTATGACACTTAACGCTCTTAAATGAGACAAGTACGCACTATAGAGGGATATGCTTTGTTCATATTTCATGTCTGAGGTTTACAACCACTTTAAGGATCGGGGCATGGTTACAGTTTGTTTAACAAAATAGATTGCGGTTATAAATTTGTGGTCAGACAGTGGGTCAAGTTGGAGTATACTACCTCTTCAGGCTGGTACAGGATTGGTTCTTACTCACTTAAAATTATCGGCACATCCTGCAAATTCCATTATACATGGTAGCACTCTCTTATAGTGTGTAAAGCTGGCCATTTATGATTTTATGAGCCCACTGATCTGAATTGAACAGATTTCCCAATCCACACAAATGAGGTGGTTGGGGGAATCCTCCCTGCTCTTGTATTTTGACAATAGGAATCCTCTTCTGAATACACTGATCAGTGCTGCAGCTGAATGGCTGCAGGACTGATGGAACAAAAACTTACCAAGATCATTAGATCAAAACCGAAATTCAGGCAGTCCTTGCTGAACCACCGAAATTTTGATCCATCTATGGCAAGCTTACAGCGGAGTTCGAGTGAGAATAAAAAAAAAAAAAAAAGTCAGCAGCTACAAAAGCTGTAGCTGCTGACGTTTAAAAGACGGACAGTTATCTGTCCCTCGATCCCGCGATGTTCCCCCCGCAGCCTGTTTCATGAGCTGCCCTGTGTTCCTGGTGCCTGCATCTTCATTGTGGGCACCCGGCTGTGACAGCTTCTGGCTTCACAGCTGGGTGCCCACTGCGCATGCGTGAGTACTGCTGCACTTTGTGAATGGTCCTGTAGTCTTCTGGGACCTGTCACATGTCCCAGAAGACTACAGGAAGGGAGGGGGGAGGACAACTTCCGCTTCCGATCGCCTAGGCGGTCACAGCGGAAGTGAGAGTGGGTACCTGTCAATTTCAGGTACCTGCTCCTCTCTCCGCTCCCCAAAGGTGCCAATCCTTAATGGGGAGCAGGGGACCAGTCTTTAAAACAGAACTCTGGACAGTGGAAAAAGAGATTTCAGATAAATTTTAGGGGTATCAGTAGGTAAAAAGGTGGATTGCTGTTAGAGTTGCACATTGCAAAATATCTTTGAACTGTACATTGCATGTCTATAGTAGTTTCTGCTGAGCTGAGTTTTCAGCATTTCTGCATTTTATTTTGCAGAGGTGTTAAAGGAATCTTCTAGTTTACACCATGATGTTACCAGTCTATAAAAATTACATAAACTACCACTTCTTAATAAATTTATGTTTGGTCATATAAACTTACAAGAAGATGTTAGGAGAATTAAATACTGGGGACTTTATTGTTTTCTGCAACGTTGGAACCTTAATTGTCACCCCAAATCTTTTGGTTTAGCTATAGGAGTCATTTGAAAGTTATTCAAATAATTTCCAGTCTTTTCTAGTCTTTAATAGTTTAGCAACTGTCCACGCTTTTAGAAATTAGGGTGAGGTTGGTCTCCGACTGTCCACAATCCTGACAGCCTGGGCTCGAATTGCGTACCAAGCACTTTCCAAAGAAACACAAACATTGAGGCTTTCCTTGGGGTAAATGATAACATAAAATTTTAATTATGTACTGGCAACATCTGTAAAATATTTAGAGGGGGTATCTGAGGATAGGAATATAGGAACCACCATTGCTGGCTTGATTTTAAAGGTGCTAACTCCAAGGTTGTTGTTCTGATCATATCCTCACTAACTAATGAGTCATAGACCTGGAACAAGTATGTGGGGCAGTAGTGTAGACTTTTTCAGACTTTACTGGATGCATGCTTGTTCAGGGACAGTTAAAGGCTAGATAAGCCTTTCTCAGCCAGGGTTCATGGGAACCCTAGGATTCCTCCAGAGGTTGCTAGCAGCTCCTTGAGCAATGAGCAATTTCTGCCTCTCAGATAAGTGACCACTGACACCATGGTTTTAGCTTTCTGTAAGGGGGAAATGTCCCCAGTGACCAAAAATGTAAGAAGCATTGTTCTCGATGATCATCACATTAATGTCTCATGAGCAGGGGCGGACTGACCATTTGGAAACTTGGGCACTGCCCGGGGGTCAGTAGGGGGCCCCATGAGATGCCCCTGGTACCTTTCTCATAGGCTTTTCTGAGTTTGGGCAAGGAAACAGGGGCCCCATGATCCCCTATTGCCCAGGGCCCCATGAATTGTCAGTCCGCCCCTGCTCATGAGTTGTAGATATAGAAATTATATAGAAAGTTGTTTCGAGGGTTCTTCTGCATTGGAAAGTCTAGTCTAGATCAACTTTGGAAGCCATTTGGTTAAATACTTGTAAGTGATGTTTACATTTGTACAATCTCTCTTGTTCTAATCAGATGAATCGGAGGATTCTCTTATGGTTGACTGGTTCAAGCTCATCCATGAAAAACAACTTCTTCTGAGACAGGAGTCTGAGCTCAATTACATGTGAGTATCAATCTCTGTTCTATAATTCAGTAGTGCTTTCTTGGGAGTCTGCCGAGTTAAAAGCTTATGATATTTTAAATTGTATGCACAGCTGTTGAAAATAGATATAACTACTGCTCGTGTCTTCAAAGAAAATGAAGTGAAATGATGTAAGCAATAAACTCTTGTTTGTTTTTCTGGAACCTACCACATTAGATTAATGGTAGCACTTTCAGATCAATGGTAGGCCTCTTGACCATGAAAACCCATTTCCAGTGTTTTTTTCAGTGTTTTGTATTCACTTGCCTCTGCTGTGTGAAATAAAGAGTTAGGATATAATACTTACCATCCTTATGTATTCTTTTTCTCATCCTGCTTGTAGGATGTAGACACTGCCCTTTTTGGGGTTGAATGACACTCTATTTTCCAAACTATTCTTGTGAGCATAGGTTGTCATGGACACACCCCCTAGCTCCAGTGTCATCCTGCAGCCTGAGCTAGGACACGGTATTCTTAACCGGTCCCAGGTGCGATTTGGAGAACTCGCACTACGCAAATGAACCAGCCCAAGGGGCGAAACCATGCCCAGAACCGGTACAGTGTGAGTGCACTCTAAATGTAAACCTTCTGCTCTCCCCAACATTGTTTCATTTCTCTTGCCAAAAATTCCAGAAGAGAAAATTATACCCCATTTAGGGACTATGACAAGTGGGCAGAGCTGGCAACTCAATTTAGCTCGTGCCACAAGAGTAACCAGCGGATGCGATAAACATGGTAAGTGATTGAACTCCTTGGCATCTACTGAAATAGCCATTTTGGCTGGACTGAGCATCAGGGCAGACTCAGACTGTCGCGTTACATTTTTGAAAAGTATGTCAGCACAATGCAATGAAGGATTTAACAGACCTGTACAGTTCTCATTGCAGCGCAAAAATGGTACCCATGTGTTGTGTGGTGTGCTGGCTAGGTGTGTTGGGTGCCATTCAGAATGAATGGTGATGCAACGCAGTTCCATAGAGAGACGTTTGTTGCAGCAATGTTACATCAATGCATAAATGTGAATAGAGCCCTAAAGATAGCCAACCAATTACATACTGGGGTATACTGCCTGATGTGACTATATTTAGCATGGGAAGAGCAGGAATTGCTAACTAATGATGACGCTCTCACTGTCTCCTAGAGTAGGCTTTAACATGACGACATTGCTCTTAATTGGATACCAAATTTCAGATGTGCTCTATGGTGCAAGAAAGTTACATTGAAAGTATTCCAGCTAAACAAAGCGCAAAAAGCAATTATAAATTATTTCTGAAATTTCCAATAAAGTGTAACTAAACCCAAGAACAAAAATGTAATATATCACATCTTACCAGTCCTTACATGTGGTGGCTGCATTAGTTTTCTTCTTTTCAGGCTAAGTACATTTTCCTGCAAGTACAGAATATGCCTGCTGATCCGATCATAAATCCTGTGTTCATGTAACTTCCTGTGTATGGAACTGAGATATCAAACCGTGTTCTCAGCGTTCCAATTACTTTATTTGAGCTGCAAACCACATCCCACTGTGTAATGGAGATGAGGAGAGGAGCGAGGGTATTTAAAGCGGAGTTCCAGTTGGTTTAAAAAAAATAAAAGTCAGTAGCCTACAAAAACAGTGGCTGCTGACATTTTAAAATACAGCCACTTACCTGTCCCTCGGTCCAGTGGTGTCCTCACCACCACTGGTTTCACCGGCCGTCTTCTCTCCCCGCCACCGACATCTTCAGTGTGGGCACTCGGCTGTGACAGCTTGCGGCTTCACAGCCGGGTGCCCACTGCGCATGCGCGAGAAGTGCTGTGCTTTGTGAATGGCCCAGTAGTCTTCTGGGAGCTGTCACGTGTCCCAGAAGACTACGGGGAGGGAGGGGGGAGGACAACGTCCAATTCCAAATAGCCTCAGGTGACCGCAGTGGAAGTGGGAGTGGGTACCTGTTAAATTCGGGTACTCGCTCCGCAAAGGTGCCAATCCTTAATGGGGAGTGGGGGACAAAGATTTAAAGTGGAACTTCTCCTTCTGCGTGGAGCTCCGCTTTAATGTCCAATTTAGGAGAGCAGGCTAGTGCGACAATGCTTCTCCGCTATAGATACAGTGCAAGAGAGTGAGTATTGCCACCCTAGGACAGGAAGTACAGTGTGTTATCAGCAATTGAAAGTAAAGGGAAAGAAACCTAAAATCTAATGCAACCAGCACAATTAAGCACTGGTAAGCTACAATATATTACATTTTTGTTCTTGGGTTTAGATACACTTTAATAATGCCAAAAAGACAGTATAACCATACAGATGTATAACCCCAAGGCAATGGGCGAGCCATCCAAATCATTGTGTTTAGCCATCTGGCCATATGTACATCCAGAACCACTGGTGTATAGTGCAGATAGATCTTAAAGTGATATTAAAGGTTAAATTAAAAAAAAAACAAATATGGTATACTTACCTGCTCTATGCACTGGTTTTGGCCCAGAGCAGCCCCGATCCTCTTCTTCTTGGGTGCTCCACCAGCGTTCCTGGCTCCTTCTGTTGTGTGAGTGCCTCCATAGCAAATAAATATAAAGTGCAGCGCTCTCCCCTAAACTAATTATATATAAATATAAAGTGCACACTTGACTAAAAGGTGCTCTAAATAATGACACAAGTTAATGAACTTATGTGCAAAAATTGTGCATTTACAAATATGTGCATCAGCAAAAAATTGTGCAACCCGTGTGCTTCAAAATGAGAATAAAGTGCAATCAAAATGAGAATAAAGTGCAATCAAAATCACTCCAACCATCTGTTATAAATAATAATAAGTCCAAAGTAAGATTAAAGTGTCCAAATGCAACAAAAGGACTAGCAGTCTTCATGCATGTGTCACACGTGTCCACACTGTGTGAATCCAAACTTTAGCCGGGAACGCGAGGAGGATTCTGGGAGCGCGGTGACGTCATTTCCGGCGTGGCAGCCATATTTGAAACCCCTGTATCTATATACCCATGCAGGAGATTCATAGCATGGGGTATTGAAGGCATGTGAAGAGACGATTTTAAATGTGAGTGGGCAATTTTCTACTACTTATCTACTTACCTGATAAACAGGATTACACTATGTGAGTTTTTGTTTGTATATGAACCGAGGAGGAGATCGCTGTTAGAGTATAAGAGGCGGGGAAGGTCCTGGTGAACCATCTAAAGGGTGTCCTGCTGTAAAGCGAGCTGACCCTGTGGGGTCTTGGCAAGGAGGTGAGGGGCCATCACGGCTAAAGTTTGGATTCACGCAGTGTGGACACGTGTGACACATGCATGAAGACTGCTAGTCCTTTTGTTGCATTTGGACACTTTAATCTTACTTTGGACTTCTATTATTTATAACAGATGGTTGGAGTGATTTTGATTGCACTTTATTCTCATTTTGATTGCACTTTATTCTCATTTTGATTGCACTTTATTCTCATTTTGAAGCACACGGGTTGCACAATTTTTTGCTGATGCACATATTTGTAAATGCACAATTTTTGCACATAAGTTCATTACCTTGTGTCATTATTTAGAGCACCTTTTAGTCAAGTGTGCACTTTATATTTATATATAATTAGTTTAGGGAGAGCGCTGCACTTTATATTTATATGCATTCACTCATCTTGGTAAGGAGTTTTGTGTCAGCCGCTTGGTAAATAGGGCCCCATTCTTCGCGCAGGAAGTTCTCGCACTTAGATTTTTAGAGTGCCTCCATAGCAAGCCGCTTGCTCTGAGGGCACTCGTGCATGCCTTCTCCTGAGTCCCGCTCTGTGTGCCCATAACACACTTGGAACAGAGCTTGGCCCCGCCCCTGCTCCCTCCCTCAATGGCTCTGATTGACAGCAGCAGGAGTCAGTGGGTCAGCCAATGAGAAGGCAGAGACCCAGCAGAGCAGCTGCTCTTGTGCACATTGCTGGTTCGCGATCAGGCTCAGGTAGATATTGGGGGGGAGGGGGGAGCTTGAAACTGAAGGTTTTTTTACCTTCATGCATTAAAACGTTTACAACCCCTTTAATATTATGGAACCATTTATTTCAAGCTGTATACAGCAGTTTCAAGCAATTTGGCTATCATTATAGCAGTGTATGGAAACCATAGCTTCGAAGGCCCCTTGCACGCGGGGCTGTGTAGCTGCAATGCATCCCTCCCAGCATTTTAATGCATCCAAGAAGGACAGATCTGTTTAGTAGACCTGCGTTCTGGACCTTTATCTCGCACAGGGACCTAAACGCCAGTACCTCACGGTGTAACGTTTAGCCTCTTACTGCAGGAACCTGCCATAGACTTTGACAGGGTGCTTGCAGATGCACTGCAGCTCTAAGGTCCCGTGTGTAAGAAGTCTAAGGAGTAGAGATTGGGACACAACAAGACAGTTTAGTGCCAAAAACAAATTTAATTAGAAAATAGGCCGAGCAGAAGATAACAGATTGTCATATTTATATTGGGAATCAGTGGAAATCTGCACAGAATGTGTATGTATTGATCACAATATTAGTGTGAACGTTTATAAAGCAGGTTTGAAAAATCCCCTAAGGCTCTGTGCTGTGCAATGCCAGCCACTCCTGCAAGCCCGGACTCGAAGGTTTTATTACAGTCTGTTACTTGTTTTAGGAGTTGTTTGGTCTAGTGTTTCTGATGGGATACACTTGAAAGACCTATCCTGTGTAACTGTGTTTTTAGTGCTTCTTGAAGGGCTCTGGAAAACAACAGAGGGAAGGGACTGTGTTTGTTGGCAGGCCCTGGGCTTTGTAAACAAGCACTGATTTGAAAGAAAGTAGCTTGGCTGGCTCTCAGCATTTGTACAATGTACACAGACTCCTAATGGTTTTGTCAATGTTTTCCAGATCCAAACAGCAGGCTCTGGAGGAAAAACAGCAGAATGTGGAGACTGAGCTTCGTAATCTGATGAGCAAGCCAGGTGAGATGAAAAGAACCCTGATCTGGTGTGACATGGCCTAAGGGAACATGCAAGGTCTTGTGAGTCACCATAGTGAAGTATAGTGAAAAGGCATGGGTTATGTTAGAAGCCCTGGAGCTCAGCCATGATGGATCTACTGAATGGCCACACCATGGAAAGGAATTACTGATATGGGAGTGTCTCTTAGTAGATGTCTGAATAGAAAGACGGCTTAGATTCAGGTGACCAGCACCACACCTGCATCACACACTGGTGGCTGCATTGTTCACTTAGCAGCTGTTGAATCTTAAGATCTGTAAATACTTCTAGGTGACTTTTATCGCTCAGATTCTGTTATTTTGTTTGTATTTTATGATGTGTATATCATCAGTGCCATCTAAAGTGTTCACCTTTATGTTTTTTCTGTAAAGGTGAACTAGCACTGTACACCCCCCCCCCCCCTTCCCCAGTCAGGTACTTGCCTCCAGTCATCCTGAGCTGTCATGGCTCCTACAGCTGGTCCAGTGGGCCAGTGATTTGAAATTCCTTCTCATCTCTCTCCCCTCTGTGTGTGCTTCTGGGACAGAGCCGATCAATTCTGATTAGTCAGCACCATCACAGTTAATTGTTCTGGTCTGTCCCAAAAGCGCTGCACAGAGGAGAGGGAGAAGTGTGAGGATTTAAAAAGCGTGGACTGCTGGACCAGCTGTGGGCACCCTGATGGCAGGGACTGGGCAGGGGGATGGGTTGTAAAGTGTGTGTTCACCTTTAGGCTAGGTTCACATCTGTGCGGGTGGCGCCGCTGTGAATCCGCACGAAAATCCGTGCAGCCGCACCACCCGCACAGAGGAATGCGGAACCACGGGCGGGTGCCATTAGTTCTAGCCCACACTGGAAAATGCAACCGTACTGGGAACCAAGGTTCCCATGTGGGCTACGTTTTCAGAAGAAGACTTCTTCCCTACGGGGCACAGGAGTCCATTCAAATTGCAAAGCGCGGCCCGCATGGCTGCATATATGTTAACCAGGGCTTACAGTTTTTCTGTAAAAGTGAACTAAACCTTTAAATGTGTATAACAGTAGAGTATCAGACAACAGAGCCCTGTAGTTGTTTACCCTGTAGTTGTTTACTTTCCCCATAGCTTTGGGTTCTCCTATTTGATACTGTTATGGACACTCAGAAGCTGGGAGACAGTATATGTTGTTACTTCATGCACATACGAGTCCAATTGGACTTGTTGCATTTTTCCTGCACAGAACTGTACTGGAACACTGTAAAATGCATCAAAAACACACTGGAACGCACCAAAATGCACTAAAAAATGCACATGGCCATATCTGAATTGACGATAAAGAGATGGGGAAAAAATGAACTGAAACACATAAAAAACGTACTTGACTGTTGCAAAAACGCACTGGAATGCGTAAAAAACGCACATGCTGAAACACATCTGGATCACATTTGGATTGCGTATTTATGGTGTGAACTGACCCTAAAAGTGTTCGTTCAGCCAGAAGTTTGTCATATTCCACCTTTATCAAAAAATAATAAATGTACCCATATTGAAAAAACAAACAAATATGTATTTGTTTTTTTGCAATGGAGCCTGCAAAACATTGCAATCATGATTAGGTGCAATGCCCGGCTCCTGCAGACTATTCCTCCAGCCGCAGATACAGAAGGAAATTTGGACCTTTGGCAAAGTAGGGGAAGGCTAGAGGTCTTGTCTGATTTTATATTTCTGTCTATTTCCCAGTTTCACATTTTTCTTCATTATCTGCAATAAGGTAAAAACTTTAAAAACATGCCCCTCCCATCCCTCCTCCCCCATTTACCTGCATCCTTCACTGGTCAGTGCTTTCCTGTCTACAGCAGCGCTGTCTCTCTTCCTGGATTCACAGGCTATGCTGAACAGCACTGGCTCTTGCTGTTATCAGTCAAATCCTGTTTGGAGGCAGGGGGTGTGTGGCCAAGCTTTGTTTTGTGTGTGTCTATGGACACATACAGCCTAGTTCAGGGGCACAACCACACGGGTACATCCTCAGCACCCTGCTTGCTTGAGGGAACACTCAGAGGAGCAGGGCAGCGCCAGCGAAGGATTCCAAAAAGAGAAAGAAAGAGACCGCTTTGTGCAATATCAGTGTACAGAGCAGGTAAGTATAAATTCTTTTTTTATTTTAAAAATAAAGAGCCTTTATAATCACTTCAAGAAGAAATTATTAAATGTTTCTAATGCCTGTATTGTGGCCATTTCCGACTTAGGTTAGCAGTGTTAGGAAGAGAGTTGATCTGTTGTGTTGGCATTATTTTACGTGTATATATTGTATTACTTCAAAAGTATCCATTACTATTCATTCATAGGAAGATAAAACCAATGTACCAGTATCATACATAGAGGAATAAATAAGATGTATTATTACAGTGGTTCTCAACCTTCCTAATGCCATGACCCTTTAATACAGTTCCTCATGTTGTGGTGACCCCCAACCATAAAATTATTTACCCAGTAATTATAATTCATGAGTGTCGTTTTACCTCCAATACTGCTGCTTTCAACACAGTAGCTGCTTTTAACAGAGTAGCTGCTTTCAACACAGCAGCTGCTTTCACACAGTAGCTGCTCTTTACGCATCGGAAATGTGTGTTTTCTGATGGTCTTAGGGGACCCCTGTGAAAAGGGTCGTTCCACCCCCCAAAGGGGTCGCGACCCACAGGTTGAGAACCACTGTATTATTATATCCGAAAGTTTTAAAAGAATGACTGTAACTTCATCATATGACATCCGTGTTTTGTGTCTTTCAAACATCACTTCCTGGTTGTTGTGTTTAATATTGCTATATGTGCTCAGTTGATGTTACATGTAATGTTGACTGCAAAATTTCTTTCCATCTGCCAATCTTACGTTCTGAGCGGCACCTCATTCACAGGCTTAATAATCCTTCTCTTTCTGTGACCAGCATTAGGGATTGCCTGGTTCTCCATATCCTGTGCTGACTCTTCCATGTCTTTTCCAGAGCATCTGAAATCTCCAAGGGAAAAAAAGAGAGAAAGTGAGCTTCTGGAAAAATACTTGCTCATTGTGAACGATCGCAGTGAGATTATTGAATGCCTAGATGAAGACAGAATACGGTGAGAAAAGTTTCCCTCATCTTGCACAAAAATGCACTCTTTCTCCGTTTACTACAGCCGATAGCCCTGGGGCCAAGTGATACTTGGGTGCTTGGTAGTGATCATGACCATGATGTTAAAACTACTTTCTAATCTTTGCCTCCACCCATAGACTGTTGTGAGGGTGAAGCCGTGTGTGAAATTAGAACGATTACTGAACGCGGCTACCGCTAGTCTTAGCACTGACAGTGCTGTTTTGCAGTAATCTGGCATTTAATACTAATGTTGATAAGTTCAATGTTAATAAAAATCTCATTACATCTTGAAGAAGGTTTTAAGTTGTTTGCAGCTGGATTAGTAATAAAACTGAAACAGTCAGTCTATTGGCTAGGAAAATTAGAAATTATATTGTGCAGCCCTTAAGAGGAATCAGAGTTCATATTTGACCAAGGAGGGGTGGAAGTGAGGAGCTGACCTCAAATCTATAGCCCCTCAAAAAGCAATAGTTAGTTGAGTCTGGTGGCTTGAAATCGGCAGCTCACCACAAAGTGTCGAACCCTCCTAGACAAAGTGGTCACCTAAATTGGGAATTTCACATATAGGTGAACCAAAAAAAAAAAAAAAAAGCACCAGTACAATTATCTCAAAAGTCCAAAAAGCCCTTTATTGTCTTCAATACTGGCAACAGGAAAGCAGAAGTCAGCCAACGTGTTTCAGGGATCCACAACCCCTTTCTTTATCAGGAATTGGCAGTAATGTCACTTCAAGAATGCCTGGACTCAAAAGGGTTTTTAAGTATTTATAGATATAAAATCAATTTGTTACACCAGTAAATTATTGCAGCATCTGCATTAAAGCGGAGCTCCAGTCCCCCTAAAAAGTTTTTTGTTAAAAGCAGATCCACGAGGACCTTACAAATAGCATTAACAATTGGAATAATTCAATATTTATTTATTTCAGGTACTTATATAGCGCCGTCAATGTACGCAGCGCTTTACATATATATTATACATTCACATCAGTCCCTAACCCTCAAGGGCTGTACAATCTAATTAAAAGCATTGTAATTACTTAGAAAATCGTAAACATTTACCAGGATTTTGGAAGCAGGCAGGCGCCATGATGGCTGTGGGCATCTGAAGCCCGCAGGTATTTATTTCCTGGAATCGTGCTGCTGGCTATCCCAGCATGCACCAGTCGTTCTCGCGCATGCGTAGTACAGACACTGCTCGGCGCGACGTGTGCAGTACAGGTTTCCATAACAATGGTTGAAACATCTCCCATTTGCGTCATTTCTGGTTTCCAAGTCCCGCGATTACAGGAAACCAAAGGACTCCTGGGATACAGGAAAAAACATCCCAGGAGACCTTGCAAATCGCCTTATGACATCATCGCCTAGGCGGTCAGGACCGGAATTGCAGGCTTGCAGTGGATTAAAAGGTATGTATAATAAAGGTAATAAGGTAAAGTATTAAAAATGGGTGGAACTCCGCTTTAATCTGCTGGTGCAATACTTGATATTATATCTAACTGTAAGTAACAGGGATCAGCCCGTACCTTTTTTTTAAATTTTGTTTTCCTTTTAATGAATATTTGTATTGAATCCAACCACAAAACTGAAAAGTACAGAGTAATGACAATGATATCAATGGTCTCATACATCCTGACTCCAGAAGATGACCAGCATAACCAAAACCCAAATCCAGGATCAGGCCTTACCTTTTGCTGCTCTGTCTGCTGTGTACAGATGAATGTGGATTGTAATGGTTTTTTAGGGCTTATTGCCATTTATCGTAGCTCATTATTGGGAATAAACCCTTTTACAGTCAAGCTGGAGGCAGGACTGGTTTTTTCAATAGGCATAGTAGGTTTAAGAGTATACAATAGGGTTCATTTTTCAATAATACCGGAAGTTAAGAGTTTGACTGTATGACTTCTGGCTGCTAATAAAGTGGTTCTAAAGTCTAAACATTTTTTTTTTACCTTTTTGAATTCCTTGCCCCACTACTTGCTAAAATCATCCCCCCATAACTAAATACTTGCCTGACTCCTCACACTGATCCAGCACTGTCCCAGCCACAGTGCCATTCTTCCTGGTCATACAGGAGACACTGAGGGCAACTGGAGTCATAGGCTTCTGCTGCTGTCAGTGAGGAGGCTGTGGGGGCGTGGCTTACTAGTACTGTGTGCTTACGGATTAAACAGCCTGACTTGGGGGGGCATGTACACAACTTGCTGAGGGGCCACCTGGAGGAAAGCAGGAGCAGACAGCGCCAGCGGGGGACTGCCAAAGAGGAGTTAAGGGATTGTTCCGTGCACTACCATACCATACATATAATTTCTTTTTTATTTTAATAAAAAAAGAAATATAATTTACTTTAAAGTGTTACTAAACCCAGGACCCTGCATTCACTATATCTGGTCTCCCAGGACCCTGCATTCACTATATCTTGTCTCCCGCAGTACACAGAACCTAGAAATGCAATTATTTTAGTAAATATATACTGCTAAATACCTTCTCATCAGCAATATATAGCAGTCTTGTGACTCCTATCAGTGTCCAGCTGCGCATTGGTTAATCTTGGAAGAGTTTTCATTCTCCTCTGATGGTCCTATGAGGTTTCATGACCCTTGAACCTCTGCCTGGACAGTGCTGATTGGCCCTGTGCTGATCACATGCACCCTTTAAAAAAAAAAAAAAAATTCTCTAACAATACACACCAAACTGAGCATGTGCAGCTTGCCCCCAAGGATCTGTTCTATCGGCAGATGAATTGGGGACTGTGGAAGAAGGGGACGATCAGAGAAGACCGGACCAAGCATGCTTTACTGCATTTACAGACGGATTTTACTGTTGTGGGTTTAGTAACACTTTAAATGTCCTTTGGAAAGCTTGTGGCTCCCATCCTTTTCCCGACTCCACGACTCACATATGATCTCCTGTGCCTGGTGAAATAAGTGGACCTTGCACTAAAAATCAGCAGCTGTCTGGTAGTCAGCATTTTGACCCTTCCTGTTGGAGCCTGACCTCTGACCTTTGGAGCAGAAGAACCCTATTAAAGAAATCTCAAATCTTTACATGCAGACACAGCAGGGCTTACATTGTTAAATTCTCATAATCCCAATTTATTTGCCAGTTCATTTGTAATGTCTATGATGGCGGCTGATGTTCTTCGAGTGCATTCAATGACAGTTGTTTTTCATTCTGAGGGAGAACTAGTTTCTCTTTCAGTGTCTCTATGACCTTCTGAATTTTTCCTTACCAGGAAAATAAAAAGTGACCAGTAAAAGCAGAACACCAAGTTATGGGCCGGGATCTCCTGTTGTGTTTTATTGGAGTACTTCTTAGGGTCCTTTCACATGGGCGTTCCGTTTTTTTTTTTCATCAGTTCAGTCACGGTTTTTCCAAGAAAAAACAGATCAGTTCACATCAGTTTTTTGTCCGTTTACATCCGGTTTTCATCTGCTCTGTTTTTTTTTTACGGAGGTAAAATAAGGTTTTCTTCTGTTCAAAAAAACAGATGTTAACGGATGCGGACATTAACCGATGTAAACAGTTGATCGTCCGTTTACATCCGCTAGTCCATAGAAATACATGGGTGTCCCTTTTTCAATTATAAACAGACAGATGAAAAACAGACATATGGGGCACCCGTGTGAAAGGGATCTTAAGAAGGACAGACTGAATTTATTGGGGGCGATTTATTAAAGCAGTACATCCTCACTTAGCCCAGTGATCCTGATTAAATATCCAGTTATGTGCAGAGGAAGTTAAAAGAGCAGGAATTTGCTTTGCAGATGATTGATTTAAAAAGTATTTAAAAAATGTACTTCTTTGTAAATCAGTCTTGTTGCATGATCTTTATCAGTCAGGGTTTTAGAATATTTGTCTTCGTCTGGGAAATAAAAAAATGATCTGCAGTATTTAGATGATTTCGATGATTTTTTTTTTTTTTTTTGAAAATAAATAAGCTATATCCTGTGATTTCCCCCCCCCCCCCCCCCCCCCTTATAAAATGATCAGCACCTCTGTACTACAAGGCACAGCAATACTGTGTCATGCACCCTGAAGCAGATCCTCAGTAGAAACTTTTTTTTTTTAACAAATGAGGACGTGTCTTGTTAAATAGAAAAAAGTTTACAAGTACCGAATACTCATGTTCATTGGTCTTTGCTTGTCTTCGGTAATGGTGGCCTTGAGTACCTTACTGCTTCTTGCAGCACAAGGTGTCACTCAGTACCAGGAGCCCAGACCGATGTAATAACGCACTCACGGGGGGGGGCATCCTTGGCTCAGAGGAGGTGAGTTGAACGAGGCTGGCCTTCATTCAGCGCAGAGGAGTAGCTCCATCTAGTGGTGAAGAGGAGTTTCCTCGGGTGACAGCGCCAGGCTGAAGGTGAGTATTGCTGCCAAAATGACTTACTCTTTTAACCCATCGCCACTTTATCTCAAGAAAAAAAAAAGGTTTGCATTTAGATACACTTTAATGCGTGACACTAGTAACTAGTCTGACACTAGTTAAATGATGAAGCTGATTCAGCGTATGAGTATTTGCTTGTTTTTTTCTTCAGGGAAAAGGAAGAGGATGATCATGGAAAATATGATCAGAAAACATTCAGGTGAGTGTTACCTGCTAATCATTAACTAGAAACCATGTGTTCGTGTATGATGCATTTCTTTTAGACACAGAGTATCTTTTATGTTTAGGCCTCATGCACATGGGCCCCTGGGGAGGTATAACATAAAGTTTGGGCATATTTCCCCACCCACGAGCCACAAGTGCTGCTGATTTCCACCCATAGGAAGCAATGGCTGTATGCGGGTATACATCGATACTTGTGTAAACATGCACATGTGTATGGATAATGACCCTGGATGCAAACAATTTGGAGTTGATTTACTAAAACTGAAAAGTGCAAAATTTGTGCAGTTGTTCATGGTAGCCAATCAGCTTCTAACTTCCGCTTCTTCAATTAAGCTGTGACAAAAAACCTGGAAGCTGGTTTTCTATGCACAGCTGCACCAGATTTTGCACTCGCCAGTTTTAGTAAATCAAATCCTTTGTGTCCAAGATTGTACATCTGTATGCATGTGCATATTTTAGGAAGCTATGGCATATAGCGATTCATTTTAATAAGTGGCTGTATGCAGCACCTCTGACTGCTGGAAGGGAAACACAATGAATTTAAAGTTTCCGTGGCCCCAGACACACGTGCAGTATGCTTTACGTGCTAATTTTACTGAACCGTACTAAAAGTAGAGATGTACACCATACATGATGGTTAAAAGTCTAGTAATAATCAAGTGAATAAACAGAACACTGTGGGATTTCCCAACAAGGAGCCCGATTCAAATGAGGCCACTGCTATTACATTATCTATAATCAATAACACATTAGGCTCAATTCACTGAAATAAATGTGTATAACACCACTACTTATATTATTTTATGATCCTTTTCTACAAAAAATATTCAGTTGATCAACATCAGTGTCACCAAGATGTGTAATTTTCTCATGTGGAGTAAACCGTAATTTTTGGAAAGCCCAATTTTCTCATAGGTTGTTGATTTATCCCAACGGAGTGCTTTTTATCACCACCAGAGATGCTGCTTTTTCCTTCACTCTCCCATAGACAGCTCTGGAAGCTTCCGGTTATCAGCACCCTGAAGCTGGTGTTATTGTAACCCCTTGCCACTGCTGCCACTTCCCAGCCCATTAAGCTAAATTCACACTTCCCAGTGTGGGAAACCCTCCTTCCATGAGCGCTTCCCGCACTGTATTTAAAATGCTTTGCAGGTGTGATTTTCTGTGGCTGTCATTGTTAAGTTAATGACACCCCAAACGCAAGTCGCAAACACAGTGCATTGGCCTACAAATGTACCAGGCGATCCGGATACAGTGCGTTTCCAAATATAGTGCATGCACTACTTTTGGTGCCATGCAGTGGGATTTGAGTCCACTCAAAATGAATAGACTCAATTCACACAGCATTAAATCGCATGTAAATAGCAGAGGAATGCGCAGCACGTTCCTGTGCAGTTCCTAGTGTGAACCGGGGCTGAAGAGACAGCTGGGAGATGGAGGCAGGCTTTCAGATCTTGTGACCACTGTGATTGGTTGTCACACTGGTCACATGATCAGGAACTCCTTATTGAAAGCATGTATTGGGAGCTGCCTATGACATCTTAGTTACTGTGCTGGGAGTGCACAGTAAACACACTTTCAGCACAGAAAATCCATTCCCAATGGATGCATATGTGTGGCTGCTTGGCATTAAAGCCCACCTGTCCAGTGGCTGCCTATATGTATGCAGCCTGCAGGAAAAGGTTAAGGGGCAATAACTTTTGTGGTAATCATTCAGGATGATACAAGAACACTGGTAGTGATATAATTATTATTTATAACAGGTACTTGTATAGCTCCATCAATTTACACAGCGTTTTACATATATATTGTACATTCACATCAGATCCTAACCCTCAAGGGGTGTACAATCTAAAGTCCCTAACTTACATTTATACATACACATACAATTTAGACAGGATCCAATTAACCTACCAGCATGTCTTTGGAGTGTTGGAGGAAGAGTACCCGGAGGAAACCCACGCAGGCACAAGGAGAACATGCAAAATCCAGGCAGGTAGTGCCGTGGTTGGGATTCGAACCAATGACCCTAGTACTGTCAGACGGATGTGCTAACCATTTAGACACTGTGCTGCCATATAATTGCACTAGTAGAGGTAAAATGTGAATGTGAATTAGGAGATAACTAAGGTGTGGTATCAAAGGAATAACACACAACAAGAGAATAACAGGTTTGTCATTTGAGCCTATGGTCAGAAATTGCCCAGCAATGAGCAATATTAGATATCTGCTACGTGTTTTTTTTGTGGTTTTTTAAATTTATCCTTTCCTTTACTCTCCCAGTTTCCTTTATATGACTATATGTGGAATAGTAAGCCCAACCCCAGCCAAAACGTTGTATCTTGTATTACACAGAACTTCTAAGGACTAGAGCCTCTGTCAGGTTTTAATTGTCCCCTGTTTCCCTTTTGGGCTGAGTCGTTTTATGACTTGATATGACAGGAAGTGATAGGAAATCTCTCAAATGGGGGCACAGACTGAAATATGTTTTTTGGTAAAGTGTAGAAGGGTTAGAATTTCTTGATGATATTTTTACTGCTGTCCTTTCCTTCTTGTGACAATCACACTCTCCATGTGTGTCAAAGAGACAGGAAGTGAGGAGAAATCTGCCAATAGCATCACAGGCAGAAAAAAACTGACAAATTTTAACGGTAGTAAACTCTGTTTTTAAACTTGTACTCACAGGTAAGCTTACAATGAGGCTTACCTTTAGGTACAATGAATCTCCTAAACTTGCACTGTTTAGGAGATATTCGGCAATAGTCGATGATGTCACCCACACATGCGCAGCGACGCTCTGCATTCAGGGCACACAGAGTGTGCTGTGGAATGCAGAGCACTGTGTCGCAACTGTGACTCTTGTACACATGCGCAGGAATGATGTCATCACAGACTGGCCATTCAAGCAACCAAAGCACAAGAATCCAGAAGGAAGACCACCTGGAAGATAGAAGCACCAGCAGTGACAGGGCGCCGCTGGAGGGCTTTGTTTGACATAATGGGCTAGTGTGCGCTGGCATTAACCTTCCGGGGGCCCTTTTTTTTTTTTTTTTTTTTTTATTTGAGATTTTACTACCACTTTAAGCTGATCAAATGCATACAGAATTTTTTTTTCTTTTAGCCTGCAGATGTAACGAAAGAGCTCTAAAAGATTCCTCCAACCAAGCTAAACAGCACAGATGGACAAATCTCTCTTGGTGGCTTTTGTATTCTGATAGCCAGCTTCAGCAGTCCTAAACAGTGCTTCTGACTGGATACAGGTGCTGTTCAGCTGACAAATTTCCACCTGACTTTCAACAAAAGTCAATTGTTTAATAGACTATTGTGGAGCTGGGTGGTACCAACAGGCGAATCCCTGGCTTAATTTTTGGCTGCTTTATTATGACTTGGCCAATATTTAAGCTGTGTGTGGCAGCCTTAACTATGTAAAACTACTCTGAAAACTTTAGGCTTTTTTATTTTTTATTTATTTATTTTTCTTTTTAAGAATCTCTTTGCCATGAGAGCCTATTCAGTAATAGTGATTGCATTCTGTGTACTGACCCATCCAAGTGAGCAGAAAGCAGGTTTAAGTAGATTGGCTAATAAGAGCTGATTTCTGATTGATTGTCATTACTTCTTCTTTGGTAAGGATTAGGCTAATACATTTCTGTTGTGGTCTTGTACTGGTGCAATATATTCTCTTTTAACATTCTAATCAGTATTTTGTACGCTGATATAATGGTCGGGCTTGCTTGATCACCTGTAGCACAGCTGTGAGTCGGGCCACTTGTAATGGGAAGGTCCAATACAGACAAAAAGGGGATACGCTGGTCCTGTGTGTGTTGGGGATACGCTGGTCCTGTGTGTTGGGGATGGGGCTACCATATCCATTCTGTTGAAAAGATAATTGTTACAAAACCTTAAGGAAATGGATAATTGTGGCACAAGGTCCCCGATGGGCTGTTGTACTGTGAAATAAGTATCATTCAACCTCTTCTTCCTTTCAGATTCTCAACAGAAGCAAACCACTCCAGAGCCAAACCTAAAGAGAAGATCCCGCTTCAGCTTTTCAGGCTGGTTAAGACCAAAGGATAAAAATAAAACCTAAAGAGTGATTGTGTTGGACATGATTAATGATGTGCAATATATGAATTTTTATGGAAACACTGGATCACAGTTGACACTACGACATATACTACCCTGAGCTATCTCCTGCCTGAACTGTCCAGGCCCTAAAATGACTGCAGCCTCTAGCTCATTGAGCCTTCACTGGACACTTCTTATGACAACTGTGAATATGCCATGTGGAAGAACCTCTTGAATTATAGTGCACTGGGCCAAATAAACCGAAAAGGCCTTAAAGTAAACCCATGCTTTGCCTACACAGGGCACAATAACACGTTCAATCGAAATCATTGCCTTGCAGCAGCTTTTACTTCCCTCTGATCCCATGATGGGAGCAAAGAGAAAAAAACCTGTGTAGGCGCCAACTCCAGTCCTAGTCGGAGCTTACACAGGGCTGAGGATTCTTTCCCCCACCCCCATGTGACAGCACTTCTTGCCTGAGCAAAAGGAAGGGAGTCACATGATCTACCATATCCTGAAGTACCAAAGAGCAAAGGGAAGATGTACGCTGTTGCAAGAAATGGCATTATTGTGAACCTTCAATGCTTCTTAGTATAAATACACATTAATTTGAGCCTGTTCTTATTCTCTGCATTTTGCCACATTTAGAAGTTTTTTTACCTGGTGCTGTGCTGATTTGTCTCAATGGCTCACAAGACTGAACTTCCTGCTCTCAACTGTGAGGGAACTGTGCTTTTGGTGTGTATGAATTTGAATGCAGTGATGTATCTACCAAGCTTTCAACTCTTGAGAACTCTAAAACTCCCAAGCAAAGTGAGCAGGAATTCCTGAACTATTTCTCTGTGAAAGTCGCCAATAATTCTCCTTAAAAGGAATCTGTCAAGATAGAAACATGGGAGCAGTGACTGCTGCTTTGGTCTTTCGTCTGGCACCAGATGTGCACATGCTTGACCTAGGTCTGCCAAGCAGTGAAGGTAAGTATAAAGCTCCTCGCTAACGAGGCCGTCCAGCGTCTGTGCGTCCCTTCCAGCGGTTCAGTGCACCTAGGAGGGACAGGCATGGCATCCAGCTCTTCTGCAGGCAACCCATCAAAATCAATGGCAGGGTGCAGCTGGACTAACCGAATTCTGTACCATGTAGTACTGGTGTTTTAAGGGTCCTGTGTGTTCAGACACATGTGCAAGAGGCCGTCCCCACATCTGTACCTTACCACAACAACCTACCATTGACAACTCCCATATTGTCATCCCAACAGATTCCTTACCCAACAGATTTGTACCTCTTGAGTTATTGTACTTTGTGTGAATAGTCAAGTCCCTGCTGAACTAGATCAAAGATTGTAAGTCTTGGAGCCCACAGTCATACGGAGGACTGCTACAGATCCTGAGATCTTCTCAGCCCCGTGACACTTTGTTCCTGGGATACTTTTCCAGGAGGTAAATACCGGACTCTGAGTTTTGTGCACTTTTACTTAAACAAGCCATTGTGTATTGCATTTTGTATCTGAACACAGTTTGTCTTTTTAATAAAAGTATTATTTAATATTGTGGTGCTGGATCTGTTTCATTTGGTGATCTTTGTACTAAATGTTAGATCTTTATACTAAATGATCTTTAAATTCATCCACACGGAAACTCAGGCAGGACTGTAGGCATGATTGATGTCCAGGGGCCCAGCTCCAACCTTTGTGCTCCAACCAGAGAACATACAATCAGTCAAAGCTCTGTATCTACCTGTCACTTTACAAGAAGTGTGTGATGAGACATGGCCATGAAAGTGCTTTCAATGTAAATTTAAATGATATAATGCTTTTCCCCCTTGCAACCCTTGCTTTTATCTGCTGCAGGGGCAGACAGTGATGCAGCCGTCTTGGCCATGCTTTGTGGAATATTGTACTAGGGCCATTTTTGTTTTATACAGGAGCCCATCACCCTTTCAGTATGCATTTAGAGTGGAGAAACCTATGCAAACACGGGGGGAACAAGAAAACTCCATGCAGATAGTGTCTTGACCAGGACTAAAACCGAGGGCCCCAGTGTTGATGAATATGAAGCTGGAAACTTAGTGGACTCAAATGTTGTAACTCTTTGTTGGCTACACAGATCCATCCAGTAAAACAAAGCTAAGGTGTTTTGGCCGCTATGGCCTTACTCGTAGCATAGTTATGCCATGATTAAAGCCATAGCGCTGAAACGCATTAGTTTTGTTTTACTGGATGTACCTGCGTAGCCAATAAAGATTTACAGAGTTTGAGTCCACAGAGTTGCCAGTTTCATGTTTATATAAAGTTTAAGTATTGAGGGACTGCACATCCCAGCTACGAATGCTGATTTTCAGCTGTGGCTAGCAGTAGAGCTTGGGTATTGTATCCGGAGACCCCAGTGTGTTGAAGAAATTGGGGAAAGGCTAACTACTACCTGGCCTAGCATGTACCTTATTCCATCTATGATGATATCAATATATCAATACTTGATAATGAACACAGTCATCCTTATGAATACTAAGGGCTCATGTACACTGCAGCTCCTAAACTGACGTTCAGGAGCTGTTCAGCGTTTTTTTCAGCAGCCCCTGAACTCTCCCTAATGTTCTCCTATGTGACCATGTACATATAGTCGTTTACAGGCAGTTGAGTTTACAGTCATTTTTTTGAACACACCAAATGCTTGTAAATGCAGTTAACCGCGTTTATAAGCGTTTGCATTTAGAAGCGTTTTTTAACTGTTCCATATCCAGATGCTGTCCAGAGCCTTTTTTCATCATCAAAAATGCATACAAAGCATTTTCCATGTATTCAAATGGACCGGGTACACCAGCGCAGTCAGTTCCAGGTTTCAAATGCAGGAATAAATGGTAGAACGTGCCGCGTTATGCTCATGATGGGATCCATAGTGAAGACAACCAGAAAAGACAGGTCATCTCAACACATACTGCTCTCTCTGCTTCTGCGCTCTCTATTTCCCTCAAAATGTCTGAAATAGTTAATTTTTTTACAATTTCTCAGTGCATTCTGGGCATTTGGGAGGGTCTCCTGAGGTTATCTTTTAAAAACGCTTCTAAACGCATATAAGCACATAAACGCGGTATTGAAACGCAACTAAACTGGCGTTTTTTTTAACCTACGTTTTCCAACAGTCGGTTTCCATCGTTCAGAAGAGTTTTCCAAATGCCCCGTGTACATGAGCCCTAATGACAGTCATGCTTATACAAGGCAAACAGCAATATGTAAAGTGCAGTAACCCCTTCACAACTACTTAGAATTAAAAAAAATAATAATGTTAGCAGAAATCTTGTTAGTTGCAGTGGCAATCTCCTTCTGCATTGTGAACTTAGGAAGTGCGCACTTGGCACGGACGCCATCCAACGAATGCATTTTCTCAATGAATGCACAGTTCTCTGATTGGACGAGGTGAAGAGGTGGGGGAAAGGGGAGTGAAACCACAAACTCCACCTCATGCAATCAGAAAGAAGTTTACACTGAGAAAATGCAAAGTGTTCTTTAAACGGTGACTGTGCTGAGCAAGTGACCTCCTGTGTTCACTATGCAGCAGGGCAGCCACTCTGCATGGGACCCAAAAGCTAATAGAGATGCCTACTCCAGCGATTTCCAGCTTGTAGAGGGATCCCACCTGATCCCTCTACAAGGGGACCCTGCAGGATCTTCCACAGAATCACATATACTTACATTGGTCCAAGCTGGACCAATGGAACCATGCAAAAAAGAATGCAGCTCTAAAGGAAAATAATTGTCATTGTAGAGGTAAATAAATATTAGCACATGTCTATATATTAAAATCTTGTTATCTGGCATTCTTCGGTAAACCCTGCAGATGAGCTGCGCTTTTACTACCCCTCTACTGTTACCTCCTTTATCTGCAGAGTCAGCGCCTGGTGCATGCGGTGGAAATTATACCCCCTGTCATTTTTCTGAAAGCGCCCCGCAACCGAGGACTTCAAGGGGTGATACAACTCCTCACCACCTGTTAAATGCTCTCTGAAGCTCTTCAGAGATCAAGCACATGTGAACAAGAACCTTCGGAAAATGAAATCTGCTCTACGTATTATGACTTAAACATTGTAACTTTCTGGCACCTCACAAAAGGGGAAAGCATCAGGGGGCTGATCTGCGTGAGACTGCATGTGTATACACAGCCCTAAAAATGAAGACTACTAGTGTCAGGGATGCGGGTGTGACCAGAAGTGTGTGGACTGACACAGGGAAACGTAGGCTTCAGATATAGTAAATAATATAATTTATTGAGACTAACACAAATACATACAACAAGGTGAAACAAACCCAAACCTAAACTGATATAGATACACAGGTGCATACACATATAGAGCACAACGTAGTCAGGCAGGCCGGGTCGATAACTATCGGGCAGGTAGGTACAGGAGGAGCAGGTGGAGAGAATGGTCAGGGTCACAAGCCAAGGATCACACAGGAGAAGTCAGCAGAGGTCAGGATCAGGCAGGGTCGGAAACAAGTCAGGCAGGAACAGGAATGCAGGTTACAAGATACAGGGGCCCATGGAAAAACACACACCAAGGCCCTGACTGTGAGTCTTGCCATTCCTTAAATACAACCCCTGCAATCAGCTTCAGGTGTTATGGCTGACTGCAGGGGTGAGTCTCTGATTGCTGAGAGCACCCGCTGGCCAGCCCTGGTACTGCAGCCCACAAGGCAGGTGAGTCCCACCGTTATTGGCAAGTCCATTCCTGACAACTAGTTTCCTGGTAGCATGATTTGGAGCCTCCTGATCAGTCTATTTGTTCCAGGTTAGTAACTCAGAAAGTATCTTTGGACTACGTTGAAGGTTTAGGTTAGGTTCATGAAGAAGGTCAGTATACCTGTGAAGCCCTGACCCAAACCGTTTCCTTGTAATGAGTCATACTGTCACTTCTGTACAATTTACCATCTGCTGCTGGTTAACATGGCCACTACGTCAGTCCCAGATCTGCGGATCGTATACAACACATGACAGGGTGAGGCTGGAGATGTCATTCACAATTGCAGGTTGC